AATGCTTTTTCCGCATCTATCGAGATGATCATATGGTTCTTATTTTTAAGTCTATTGATGTGGTGAATAACATTTATTGATTTCCGTATATTGAACCAGCCTTGCATCCCAGGGATGAATCCTACTTGATCATGGTGCACAATTTTTTTGATAAGTTTTTGTATCCGAGTGGCCAGAATTTTATGGAGGATTTTTGCATCTAGGTTCATTAGAGATATTGGTCTGTAGTTTTCGTTCTTTGAAGTGTCTTTGTCTGGTTTAGGTATCAGGGTGATGTTGGCCTCATAGAATGAATTTGGAAGTTCTCCCTCTTTTTCTGTTTCCCGAAGTAGCTTGAAAAGTATTGGTATTAGTTCCTCTTTAAAGGTTTTGTAAAACTCTGCTGTATACCCATCCGGTCCTGGGCTTTTCTTAGTTGGTAGTCTTTTGATGGTTTCTTCTATTTCCTCAATTGATATTGGTCTGTTTAGGTTTTCTATATCCTCCTGACTCAATCTGGGCAGATCATATGACTTAAGAAATTTATCTATGCCTTCACTATCTTCTAATTTATTGGAGTATAAGGATTCAAAATAATTTTTGATTATCTTCTGTATTTCTGAAGTGTCTGTTGTGATATTGCCTCTTTCATCCCGTATGTTAGTAATTTGAGTTCTCTCTCTTCTTCTCTTCGCTAGCATGGCTAAGGGTCTGTCGATTTTGTTTATTTTTTCAAAGAACCAACTTTTAGTTTTGTCAATTTTTTCAATTGTTTCTTTTGTTTCGATTTCATTAATTTCAGCTCTGATTTTAATTATTTCTTGCCTTCTACTTCTTTTGCTGTTGTTCTGCTCTTCTTTTTCTAGGATTTTGAGATGAAGTATGAGATCATTTATTTGTTGGTTTTTTCTTTTTTTAAGGAATGAACTCCAAGTAATGAATTTTCCTCTTAGAACTGCTTTCAATGTGTCCCATAGATTCCGATATGTTGTGTCTGTGTTTTCATTAATCTCTAAGAATTTTTTAATTTCTTCCTTGATGTCTTCTATAACCCATTGATCATTCAGTAACCTATTGTTCATTCTCCAAGTGATGTATTCTTTTCCCTTCCTTCTTTTATCGTTGATTTTCAGTTTCATTCCATTATGATCAGATAGGATGCATGGTATTATCTCTACTCCTTTATATTGTCTAAGAGTTTCCCTGTGACATAATATATGATCTATTTTTGAGAAGGATCCATGTGCTGCTGAGAAAAAAGTGTAACTGCTTGATGTTGGGTGGTATATTCTATATATGTCAGTTAAGTCTAGGTTATTAATTGTGTTATTGAGTTCTATAGTTTCCTTATTCAACTTTTGTTTGGAAGATCTGTCCAGTGGTGATAGAGGTGTGTTGAAGTCTCCCATGATTATTGTATGGTGGTCTATTAGACTCTTGAACTTGAGAAGAGTTTGTTTGATGAACATAGCTGCACCATTGTTTGGGGCATATATATTTATGATTGTTATGTCTTGTTGGTGTATGGTTCCCTTGAGCAGTATGTAGTGTCCCTCTTTATCCCTTTTGATTAACTTTGGCTTGAAATCTATTTTATTTGATATGAGTATGGATACTCCTGCTTGTTTCCGAAGTCCATATGAGTGATATGATTTTTCCCAACCTTTCACCTTCAGCCTATGTATGTCTTTTCCTATCAAATGTGTCTCCTGTAGGCAGCATATTGTTGGGTCTTGTTTTGTGATCCATTCTACTAGCCTGTGTCTCTTGATTGGTGAGTTTAAGCCATTAACATTTAGGGTTATTATTGAGATATGGGTTGTTCTTCCAGCCATATTTGTTTATTTATGTTACTAAACATGGTTTGTTTTCCTCTTTGATTATTTTCCCCCCTTTAGTGTCCTACCTCCCACTGTTGGTTTTCATTGTTGTTTTCCATTTCCTCTTCCTGTAATGTTTTGCCAAGGATGTTTTGAAGAGATGGTTTTCTAGCTGCAAATTCTTTTAACTTTTGTTTATCGTGGAAGGTTTTAATTTCATCTTCCATCCTGAAGCTTAATTTCGCTGGAAACAATTCTTGGTTGGAACCCATTTTCTTTCAGTGTTTGAAATATGTTATTCCAGGATCTTCTAGCTTTCAGAGTCTGTGTTGAAAGATCAGCTGTTATCCTGATTGGCTTACCCCAAAATGTGATCTGCTTCCTTTCTCTTGTAGCTTTTAAAATTCTCTCCTTATTCTTTATGTTGGGCATCTTCATTATAATGTGTGTAGGTGTGGGTCTCTTATGATTTTGCACATTCGGCGTCCTGTAGGCTTCTAGGATTTGGGGTTCTGTCTCATTCTTCAAGTCTGGGAAGTTTTCTCGTATTATTTCATTGAATAGATTGCTCATTCCTTTGGTTTGAAACTCTGTCCCTTCCTGTATCCCAATGACTCTTAAATTTGGTCTCTTGATGTTATCCCATATTTCTTGGATGTTCTGCTCATGGTTTCTTAACAGTCTTGCTGAGCTGTCTATGTTCTTTTCAAGTTGAAATACTTTATCTTCATTGTCTTATGTTCTGTCTTCTAAGTGTTCTACTCTGCTGGTAGTATTCTCAATTGAGTTTTTAAGTTGGCTTATTGCTTCCTGCATTTCTAGGATTTCTGTTTGTTTTTTATAACCTCTATTTCCCTGTATAGTTGATCTTTTGCTTCTTGGATTTGTTTATGTAATTCATTGTTGAAGTGATCTTTCATTGTCTGATTTTGCTGTCTGATGTCTTCCTTGAGACTCCAGATCATCGGAAGCATGTATATCCTGAATTCTTTATCTGACATTCCATCTGCTGCAGCTATTACCTCTTCTAACGTTGAGTTGACCTGCAATGCTTGTGGTCCTTTCTTTCCTTGTCTCTTCATACTGTTCGCGTTCCTTTCTACTTGGTGAAACTGTTGTGCTATTGAATTTTCCCCCTATATATTTATATTGGTCTTGTATAGTTGCAAAGTCTCCCTCGCAGGCGCGGGCGGCGGCTCTGTCCCTCTGCGGGCCGCTAGGCTTGTTCTGTCGGTGGTCACAGTTCTGTCTACTTTGCAGGCGCAGGCAGCGGCACTGCCCCTCTGCAGGTGTCTGGGGCTGTAGTGCCAGTGGGTCGCAGGTCCGCCTACCTTGCAGGCGCGGGGGGGGGGGGCGGCTCTACCCTTCCTCAGGCCACTGGGCCTGTTCTGTCTCTCGGTTGCAGGTCTGGCCTGTTCTGATGGTGGTCACAGTTCCGTCTACCTTGCAGGCGCGGGGGGGAGGGGGCGGCTCTGCCTCTCAGCAGGCCGCTGCTCCTCTTCTGCCGGTGGGTCGCAGGCCCGCCTACCTTGCAGGAGTGATTGGAAGCTCTGCCACTCCGCGGGCCACTGGGCCTTTTCTGTCAGTGGTCACAGTTCCGCCTACCTGACAGGCGCAGGGGGTGGGGGGCGGCTCTGCCCCTCAGCAGGCCGCTGGGCCTGTTCTGTGCATGGTCAAAGTTCCCTCTACTTTGCCGGCACAGGGGGAGGGGGCGGCTCAGCCTCTCAGCAGGCCGCTGCTCCTCTTCTGCCGGTGGGTCACAGGCCCGCCTACCTTGCAGGAGTGATTGGAAGCTCTGTCCCGCCGCGGGCCACTCTGCCTTTTCTGTCGGTGGTCACCGTTCCACCTACCTGGGAGGCGCGGGGGGTGGGGGGCGGCTCTGCTCCTCAGCAGGCCGCTGGGCCTGCTCTGTGCGTGGTCACAGTTCCCTCTACCTTGCCGGTGCAGGGGGAGGGGGCGGCTCTGCCTCTCAGTAGGCCGCTGCTCCTCTTCTCCCGGTGGGTCGCAGGCCCGCCTACCTTGCAGGAGTGATTGGAAGCTCTGTCCTGCCGCGGGCCACTGGGCCTTTTCTGTCGGTGGTCACCGCTCCACCTACCTGGGAGGGCGGGGGGTGGGGGGCGGCTCTGCCCCTCAGCAGGCCGCTGGGCCTGCTCTGTGCGTGGTCACAGTTCCCTCTACCTTGCCGGTGCAGGGGGGGGGGGCCCTCATTGTGGTTTTGATTTGCGTTTTCCTAAATGACTAGTGATGTTGAACATCTTCATGTGCTTTTTAGCCATTTGTAATAGGTATTTATTTATCTATATTACTTTCTTGAGAGTATCTGTTGATGCACAGTTTTTTTCTTAAAATATTTATTTTTTTAGTTGGGCACAATACCTTTATTTTATTTATTTTTATGTGGTGCTGAGGATCAAAACTAGGGAAGCAAGTGCTCTACTACTGAGCCACAACCCCAATCCTGATGCACATTTTTAATTTTGATGAAGTCAAATTTATCTCTTTTGTTGTATACACTTTTGGTGTCATAGCTAAGAATCCATTGCCAAATTCAATGTTATAAAAATTTAGTTTTATTTTTTTCCTAAGAGAAACTTTAGCTTTAGCTTTACTAATTTTAGGTCGTTGACCCATTTTGAATTAATTTTTCTGTATAGTAAGGGTCTACTTTCACTCTTTTCCATGTGGATATTCACTTGCCCAAGCATCATTTGTTAAAGAGACTGTTCTTTCCCCATCGAATGGTCTTGCCACCTTATTGAAAATGAGTCGGTCATATTTGTATGGGTTTATTTCTGAGGTCTCAGTTCTGTTATAGCCATTTATTTTTAAATTTTTTCTTTGAGGTATTGGGGATTGAACCCAGTGGTGCTCTACCACTGAGCCACATCCCTACCCCTTTTATTAATTTTTTTCTAAAATTTTTTTTAATGTGGACACAATATCTTTATTTTATTTATTTTTATGTGGTGCTGAGGATTGAACCCGGTGCCTCACATGTGTGAGGCAAGCACTGTGTTGCTGAGCTATAACCCCAGTCCTCCTAGCCCTTTTATTTTGAGACCGTCTTGCTCTATTGCTGGGGCTGGCCTTGAATGTACCTCAGCCTCCTGAGTAACTGGGATTCCAGGTGTGTGCCACTACATCTGGCACCATTTACTTTTGTATAAGCTGAATTTCTTGTTTTTATCCCTATGATTATAGGATCGTGGGGTTGATAGCTCCATTTTCCAGAATCCCAAGAAACTTCACCTAACTATTGGGATGTTGGTGCTTTTGAGTGAGCAAGAGATCCAGCAGACATGTGAGATGCTACAGCGCTGTAAGGAGGAGTTTATTAAGTGAGTGATCTGCAAAAGTGGGGAAGGGTGGTAAACCTGGGTTGGCTTCTTTTTGGTATCACAGACTTGTTTTTGGACTAGATGACATAGGTACAAGGTTTGTCAGCTCTCCCATTTGTGGCACTTAACATTGGACTACCTCCACAATGAGACATTACTACAAAGTTAATGGCTTGAAAGCACACAAATTTATTATCTGTGTGTCAGAAAACCTTTCTGAGTTTCACTGGGTTGAAGTGATGGTGTTGGCAGGGTTGTAGTTCTTTCTGGAGACTGTAGGTAATAATCTATTTCTTTGCCTTTAAAGGTCAGCTTCCAGAGGCTGCCCGCCATCCTTGGCTAGTGGTCCCTTTTTTTCATCTTCAACTTCAGTAGCATTGCATCTCTCTGACCCTTCTGTTGTCAAATCTCTCTCTGTGGCCACAGCAGGTTGTTGGCTTTAAGAACTCGTGTAATTTGATGAAACCCACCTAGGTAATCCAGGCTGATCACCCATATCAAGCTCCATAGCCTGAATCACATCTGTAAGATATTTATGGTAGTATATTTACAAATTACAGAGAATAGATGTGGGCATCTGTGGAGGGCTGTTATTTATTCTGTCTACCACATTAGCTCAAACAGTACAGTAGCATTCTCTAGAAAAGTCTTTACTGTACTTCAGAACACTTTCTTTTCTTCCTTTTTTTCCCCGCTTGATACCAGGGATTGAATCCAGGGGTGCTGTGTCACTAAGCTACATCCCCAGTCTTGTATTTTTTGTTTAGAGATAGAATCTTGGTAAGTTGCTGAGGCTGACTTGAAACTTGCTGTCCTCCTGCCTCAGGTTCCCTAGAATTATAAGTGTGTGGAACCATGCCTGGCTTCTTTTTATTATTTTTTGAGACAGTGTCTTATTTTGTTACCTAAAATGGCCTCAAAATACCAAACCTCAAACCTCCTTTCTGAGCCTCCCAAGTAGCTGAAATTGCAGGCATGCACCACTGTGCCTGGCTCCTCAGTAGGCCCCCCCAATTTTCTTTTTTTAAAATATTTTTATTTTTTATTTTTAGTTATACGATGACAGTAGAATGTATTTTGGCAGAATATACATTCATAATTAGGTTCTATATAGATTTCCACTCTTTTGGTCCTATATGACGTGGAATTATCCTAGTTGTATATACAAATACAAGACTAGGACAGATATGTCCAGTTAATTCTACTTTCCTGTTCCTCTCCCCACTCCCTTTGGCTAGTCCAGTGGATTTCTGTTATTCCCGACTCTTACATCTCTTGTTTTGTTTTGTGTTAGCATCCACAAATCAGAGAGAACATTCACCCTTTGGTGTTTGGGGATTGGCTTATTTCACTTAGCATGACATTTTCCAGTTCTGTCCATTTACCAGCAAATGCTGTAATTTCATTCTTTTTTATGGCTGAGTAATATTCCATTGTGTATATATACCACATTTTTTTTTTAAATCTATTCATTTGTTGAAGGACACCTAGGTTATTCCCATAGCTTCGCTATTGTGAGTTGAGCTGCTATAAACATGGATATGGCTGTATCACTGTAGTATGCTGTTTTAAGTCCTTTGGGTATAGACTGAAGAGTGGGATAACTAGGTCAAATGGTAGTTCTATTACAAGTTTTCTGAGGAATCTCCATACTGCTTTCTAGAGTGGTTACACCAATTTGCTGTCCCACCAACAATGTATGAGAGTACCTTTCTCCCCGTATCCTCTCCACACATTTTCTTCTTTTTCTATTTTTTTGGGGGTGGGGGGTACTGGGGATTGAACCCAGGGGTGCTTAACCACTAAACCACATCTCCAGCTTTTTTTATTTTTCGTTTTGAGACAAGGTCTCACTAAGTTGCTTAGGGCCTCACTAAGTTACTGAGGCTGACTTTGAACTTGAGATTCTTCTCTCCTCAGCCTCTCCACTCACTGGGATTACAGGCATGTGCCACCATGCCTGGCTTTCTTCCTTTTTTAAAAGATGGAATCTGGTTATGTTGCCCAGGCTGGCCACAAATTCCTGGGCTAAAGTGATCCTTTTGCTTCAGCCTTTGAAGTACATCAGACTACAGGTGTGCACCACTGCATCTGGTCATTTTTCGTTTTTTGAATTCCAAGTAATTTTATTTGAGTCAGTAAGGATATAAAATTGTTCAAGCAATTTGCTTTGATTCATGCAAAATTCTGGGGACAAAATTGTTCTTTTTCATACATGTGTAAAAATTTAATTTACACATATATCTGATGTCACAGCTTTTTTTCAGAGAACATTCTCTTCCCCTCTCACTTCACTCCTTTTATTTAAGATGGGGGAAGAAGAGAAATTTGAAAGCTGACTTACTCAAGTAGATTTTAAAAATTTCATGATTATGTGCAGGTCTCACACTTTTCTTTTTTTTTTTTTTATTGGTGGTCTCACACTTTTCTAACATGACAGTTTAAGTCTTGTTCTTCACTCATGATAGACATGTCTGGTTTTTTTTCACAATTTTGCCTAAAATTCAAAATAATTTGGTGTTCATCATTAGGTGTTTGTAGTTGTACTTGTACAAAATAAAACTTTATGCTGTGTTTTGCAAAGCAGGACAGTTTTACCTGGTTGAAGTTCTAATACTTTAAAATATTCCCAGTTCAATTTTTGCTAAACTGAATTGAAAGCAGTTGTATTTTCTTGTCTGGCATTGGGATAATCCTGCTAAGAAAAATATTAAAAGTAGATAAAATATTTTTTAGAGAGGAATTTGCTCTTCTTACCTTATGAAAATCAGGTCACAGGTTTTAATCACTGAAGGTTTATCCTAAGCTAGGTGAAGCTTTAGCTGAGTTTCTCCCTTTTGTATTTCTTAGCGCCTTTTGTGACTAAATGCCAAATCTGAGCCTTTAAGCATGTCAAAGTTGGTGTGCATGAGAATAAAGAGCAATCTTAATAGTTCCTAAGAATTTCTGACATGACAGGATAAAAACAGTAATTGTAGTTTTTCAAATTCAGCAAAGCTTTTGAAATAGGACAAAGTTACCCTGCCAAAAATCTGCGGTGCCTGCAAAAATTTGTTTGAAGATGCACTTTTCAAAAAGCTGGAAAGCTTTGAAACCAGAAAGTAAAATAAAGCAGCCGTCTCTAACACTCTTTTTCTACCTTCCCCCTGCCAAATGTACTTGTTTAAAAAGTGTATAGTACAAAATTATTCTGAGAAAGAAGATGAGAATTAGAATTGGTTGTGGGAATGTTTAGAAGTCTTGTTTCCCTAAATGGAAGAGATATCTCCTTGAAGATAAAAATATTTGCATTTCTCAAATTACTGGAGATGTTGAACATTTTTTCTTATATTTTTGACCATTTATATTTCTTCTTTGAAGTACCTGTTCAGTTCCTTTGCCCATTTATTGATCGGGTTATTTTATTTTTATTTTTTTGCATTATATTTTTTTTGAGTTCTTCATATTTCCTGGAGATGATGCTTTATCTGAGGTACAGGTGGCAAAGATTTTTACCCAGTCTGTAGGCTCTTTCTTCATGCTCTTGATTGTTTACTGTGAAGAAGCTTTTTAGTTTGATGCCACCCCAGTTATTGATTATCAATTTCACTTCTTGCACTTTAGGAGTCTTATTAAAGAAGTTAGTTCCTGAGCCAGTGTGCAGGAGTACTGCGCCTACCTTTTCTTCTGGTATGTGCAGGGTCTCTGGTCTAATACCTAGGTCCTTGATCCACTTTGAGCTGAGTTTTGTGCAGGGTTGAGATAGGGGTTAAATTTCATTCTACTACATATGGATTTCCAGTCTTGCCAGCATCATTTGTTGAAGAGGCTGTCTTTTCTCCAATGTACATTATTAGTGCCTTTGTTTAGTATGAGGTAACTGTATTTTTGTGGGTTTGTCTCTGTGTCTTCTGTTCCATTCCAGTGGTCTTCTTGCCTGTTTTGGTGCCAATACCATGCTGGTTTTGTTACTATAGCACTATTATATAATTTTAGGTATTTGTTTTCACTAAGGATTGTTTGGCTATTCTGGGCCTCTTGTTTTTAGCAATTAGAGAAATGAAAATTAAAACTACACTGAGATTTCATTTGACTCCAGTCAGAATGACAATTATCAAGAATACAAACAGCAATAAATGTTGGTGAGGATGTGGGGAAAAAGGTACACTTATACATTGCTCGTGGGACTGCAAATTCATGCAGCCATTCTGGAAAGCAGTATGGAGATTCCTCAAAAAATTAGAAATGGAACCACCATTTGCATTTCTCAAATTACTGGAGATGTTCAACATTTTTTCATAATTTTTTGGCCATTTATATTTCTTCTGTGAAGCACCTGTTCAGTTCCTTTGCTCACTTATTGATTGGGTTATTTGATTTTTTTGGTGTTATATTTTTTGAATTCTTCATATTTCCTGGTATACATCCAAAGGAGTTAAAAAAAAATCAACATACTACAGTGACATAGCCACATCAATGTTTATAGCAGCTCAATTCACAATAGCTAAGCTATGGAACCAACCTAGGTGCCCTTCAACAGATGAAGGGATAAAGAAAATGTGATATGTAAACATAGTGGAGTATTACTCAGCCATAAAGAAGAATAACTTTATGGCATTTGCCAGCAATGATGTGGAGACTATCATGCTAAATGAAGTAAGCCAGTCCCAAAAAACCAAAGGTTGAATGTTTTCTCAAATAGGTGAAAGCTAACCCACAGTGAGGGGGGACTGTGAGGGAAAGAATAGATTAGACAGTGGGGAATGGGGGGGAAGGGAAGGGGATAAGCAAAGGAAAGCCATTGGAATGAATCTGACTTAGTTTTCCCATGTACATATATGGAAACAACACAGTGAATCCCACCACCATGTACAGCCGTAAGAATGGGACTCTAAATTGGGTTCCAGCACATGCCTTTAATCCCAGCGGCTCAGGAGGCTGAGACAGGAGGATTGTGAGTTCAAAGCCAGCCTCAGCAATGGTGAGGGCACTAAGCAACTCAGTGAGACCCTGTCTCTAAATAAAATACAAAATAGGGCTGGGGATGTGGCTCAGTGGTCGAGTGTCCCTGAGTTCAATCCCTGGTACCAAAAAAACAAAGATATATTCCATGCTTATATAATAATACCAAAATGAATTCATATATAACTAAAAAGAACCAATAAAAAATAAAGAAAAAGTACTTTTATTAAAACCCTGGTAAGTAAATAATTTCATCTGACTTTTTTTCCTTTATTCTTGCTCTTTGACCTTAATATTTTCACTTAGTATATTTAGAAAAAATATCAGTACATAATGCCATTTCTTAGCTGCACACTTTATATTCCCCAATTTAACTGTGAAAAGGAAAACATTGAAACTAAATAGACTAGTGCATAATTTGCTGTAGCTTAATATTATGGCATTTTAAATTGGAGTATTAAAATAAATGTGGCTTATATTGGAATTTGAGTACAACTACTGTGCTATCTAGATATTTTAAAGAAATGGGTAGTTAGTTGTGTATGTTTAAATTGGGGGCAGTAGCTTTTAAATTTAAAGGATGCTATCTAAGCAGGAACAGGATTTTCATTTCAGTTGTTAGGCTAAAGGCTCATGTAGCTATATAGATTTTGAATGAATTATTCAGTGTTTAGCAAAGCTGAAGCTTTAAATGTGTCCCTTGTGACTTTTCTTTGTGAGCTGTGGGATGGAAACAGCACAGTAGCTCTGAGTATACAGCCTGACACGTGTAGCACACTTCTTTTAGCTCCTTTGTCACCCTACTTGTGCCTGAGTGTTCTCTAATAGTCCTTGAGTCCAACCATATAAGTTTAAAAGGGACAAGAAAGAGGAGAAAGGAGAAGTTATATGAACAAATGTGAATTCATGATTATTATTTTTTAAAATATTTTTTAGTTGTCATTGGACCTTTATTTATAGGCAGTGTTGAGAATTGAACCCAGTGCCTCACACATGCTAGGTAAGCCTCTATTACTGAGCCACAACCCCAGCCCTCCATTTTGTTTGCTTATTTTTATGTGGTGCTGAGGATCAAACCCAGTGCCTCACATGTGTGAGGCAAGCTCTCTGCCACTGAGCCCCAGCCCCAGCCCCTAAATTCATGATTATTGCCTCAGGTGTCATTCAGATGAAAACCTGAGTAGTTTGGCCACAAGACAAAGAACATTCGTCAGGCAAACCATTGGGTTTCTCTCCTGCTCTTTCATGTTCTTGATATGTCTTAGGAGTAGGGTGCAAGAGTTTTTGGTTCTTCTCTAAAGCAGGAGGCTTTGGATCCTGCTTGTTTATAGTGAGGACATATATACAAAGGAATTGTTAAAGTCAAGGGAATGGGGATGTAGCTCAGGTGTGCTTAGCATGTCTAAAGACCTAAGTTCCATTCCCACCTAACTTCTTTTAGCTCCTAAAAACCAAAAACCAGCCAGCCAACCAACCAACCAACAAAAATAGGTAAAATCAGAGAGATCAGAAACCGTAAGGATAGAATTGGTGGAAAATTCTACCTGAAAATCAAGGTAAGATAGTAATTGTATTTACTCAACCTAAATTTAGTCTACTCAAACTAAATTTTAAAAAGTGACACACTGATTTTGTTATAGTTGTTACCAGATAAAAAGCAGTATACCAATTTTGTAGAACAATTCAACTTCAGGGCTGCAGAAGCCCTGAGTACAGTTTACTGACCCAAAAAGAAAGAACTTGGAGGATTTGACAGAAAGGATTTGGATATTTTATTACTCAGGAGCTCTTAGCAGCAGGAGGCCAGTGTACAAATGTGGGCTGCACACTTAACAGCAGGAGGAATAGATAGAGGACAGACTGCATGCCAGCTGAACATTTGGAACTCTTCAGAGTTCACGACTTTACTTCACACCCAAGGTTATTCTGCTTTGATTCTCACCTAAAGATTGGAGACAAGGGAGGTGGTCAGCTGGAACTCCTGGAAATTGAAGATATAACATTAAATATAATATAATTAAAAACATTTTAGTGAGAAACTGAATGTTATGGTACTTTTTGGTGATCTAACTATGCAGAGTTAGAGTTTCAAAAACATAAGTGAAGCTGGAATCCCATGGCATGTGCTTGTGGTCTCAGATTTTCAGGAGGATTGCTTTTAGTCCTGGAGTTTAGGTCCAACAAGACTTTAGCTCTTAAAAAAAAAAATGGTGTGTGTGTGTATTGGAATGGAAATGTACTGTATTATTGATGGTCTGAGATGAGCTTGGCTTGTGTTTTGAAGTACCCAGCTTCATGCATACCTATAATCCCAGCTAACTTGGAAGGCTGAGGTAGGAGGATTGCAAGTTTGAGGCCAGCCTCAGCAACTTAGTGAGACCTTGTCTCAAAATAAATAAAAAGGGATGGGAAGGTATCTCAGTGGTAGGTAGCCCCTGGTTGAATCCCCAGTAAAAAAAAAAAAAAAATATATATATATATATATGGTTACAGGATACAAATGATCAAAGCCATAAAATTTCTCTTAATCAGGTATCTGCCTATAATAGTTGAGTTATTTAATTTACTGAAAAAATTTCTGTCTCACAGTAACCTGGCCTTAAAGTTTCAAGTGAATCCTTACCCAAATCAGGACGCATGGGCTGCAGAGAGCATCCCTATGTCCTGGATTCAGTATCAAGAGAACTTTTTAGTGTTTTGGAATTGTCTTTTGATGGATCCTAACATCCTTTTGTCTTTGAAGCTAGTACCACTTTCTTTTTTGAGACGGGATCTCTGTGTTGTCTGCGGTAGCTTCAAACTTGCTATCTTCCTGCCTCAGCCTCCCAAGAAGCTGGGATTATAGGTGTGCACCTGTGCACATCCACTGCTCAATATGTTTTTTCCTATAAGTACATTCTTTTCAAAATTGACCAGATTGGGCTGGGGCTGCGGCTCAGTGGCAGAGTGCTTAACTTGCACATGTGAGGCACTGGGTTCGATCCTCAGCACCACATAAAAATAAATAAATAAAATAAAGGTATTGGGTTCATCTATAACTAAAAATATTTTTAAAAAATTGACCAGATCACCTTCCCTCTTGATGGGAGAATTTTCATTTCATGTATTTATTAAGCACCTGTTTCATGGAAGGTATTATGCCAGGAATAGGGGGATACGGGGGTGGACAAGATGGGCCCTAGCTTCCTGGGGCTTGGGGGGAGCTCTGAGGTGATTTTTCGTTAGGTTTCAGTTAGACACAACAAGGACTTTTCTACTGAATTATATGCCTGTTTATGGGATCTGGTAAGAAAATAGGATGGTGGGGTTTTATATAACTTAAAATGAATACATGTTAATTTTTGGAAAGCTAAAAATTATAAACAATAGTAAAACATCACTTTTATCTTACCATCTAGTAAGATTGTCTAGTAGCGTCTGTTTTTGGGTGAAATGAAGTTTTCCAGGTGTGCTCCTGATGGTCCTTTGTTTCTAGAGCTCCCTTTTTTAGGGTCTCTCTGTTTTCTCTAGCCTTTTGCTTCATTTTTACTAGCCATTGGTGATCTTTATCTTGGAACCATTATTTTGTCAGGGATTGCAAATGGCTATTTCCCAGTCTTGTTATTCCTTCTGCATTTATTGGAATTATTTTGTAAAGGAAAACTTTGGTCATCAGCTCTGGTAGATTTTTATAGCTGAATTCATAGAATGTTTCCTAGAATGGGCTCCTAGAATGCTTTAGCAAAGGTTTTCTATTCTTGAAGGCTTTTCATAAATATTGCTGCATTGCTTTTAGAGATATGATGTCAGTTTACACACTCCCATGGTTATATGAGTAAAGGATTGTTTGTAAATTGGAGAAATCATGGAGAGAGATGCACCCCTAAGAGATGGGCCAACACAATAAACGTCTCTGCCACTCAGAGCTTCCATCCCTTGGCCTTTTCCCTTGAAGAGTGCTAAAAAATGGAAATTGGGATAAATATAGGGGGATACTGGAAATGCTTTCCTGTGTTTTCCAGTTGTCTGCATTTATTTTGAAAGTAGAAGGACAATTAGATAATATCAATAGGAAAAAAGAGAGATTTTATTGTAATATTGGACTTTATTAACTGTTTCAAAATATAATAGCCCTCTTAGCTGAAACATTTATAACTCCAATTTTTTTTTCAGTGACATTTCTGGGGGCAAACCCTTGGAAGTAGAGATGGCCGGAATAGAATACATGAATGATGATCCTGGCATGGTGGATGTTCTTTATGCCAAAGTCCATATGAAAGATGGCTCCAACAGGTATATTTCTGGAATATTTATTTATTTCAATTGAGAGGTACCTAAATGCATCCCTGGAAGTTCATTTGTTTTGACTCTTCCTTTTTAGGATCTAATGTACTATTTTCAGGAGTATTGCAATTCCTCCTCCTCCTCAGTAAGCTAACATCTTATATGTTATTTGAATAGTGTGTGTTGGTAGTAAGTCAAATTTTTGTGGAACTCAGGGCTTCCTTTGTTTTTTCCAGAATAATAGGCAGGAAGGATGGCCTTTTGGGATGGGCGTTTCAGGTGTGATGCAATGCAGACGTAGTGAATATCAGCACAAAATGGGATGAAAGTTTTATCAGTATCACATGATTATTAAGATTAAATTAGTCTATAGAAAGTGTTTAAGACAGTGTTTAGTACATACCAATATTATCAAAACATTGAAGAATGTTTACTATTGTTAATTTTTGTTATTATCACGTGTAGGTCCTTCCTAAGAATTCTGTTTGAAATTCAGACTATTCTGACTAGCCTAGGCATCCACAGCTGTTTCCAAAGGCATCACAATATATTAGTTGATTCAAGGCCTTTGGTGAGCAGAGAAACCCACCTTGAATTGGAAGTTTGTTTTTGTGTGGTCTTTTCAGTTAGGGGAGGGTAGAAAATGGTTCACACTGAACCGGAAATCCTCTGGAGAAAATCTAGGTAGGCTCCCAAATTTATTTGCTTTTTTTTAAAAAAAATTTTTTTGAAATAAACTTTATAATTTATTGGTAGGTATAGGTAAAGCAACACAATTTTCTGAAACCAAAATTACAAACAGCTTACTGATATATGTACCTTAATCTGTTTGAGTGCAGACCCAAAACATGTCCTTCCCCAGCCCTACACTGTGAAGTATAAACAGGGCTCTACCCTATGACACAGAAGTTCTACTTAGTGTTGTTAATATTGAAAACTAAATATAATGGGCAAAGGCTTTCTATTTTTCTAAGGAATCACTGAGTTCCAGAAACAAATGTAACCACAAATGGCTCTTTGCTAAGGTGCCTTAGTATGACAGTGTTTTTAGTGAATTTGTGTAGATCTACTCTGGCTTCCCAACTCCACGTGAAACTGATTTTCCATACCTAGTACATATGTGGGCAGATTGCTCTCTTCCTGGAAAACCACTGTGTCCTTTCTGGAAAATTTATGCAAATGCATATTTTCCAATTTAAAAAAATTTTTTTTTTTTTAGTTATACATGGACATAATATCTTTATTTTGTTTATTTATTTTTATGTGGTGTTGAGGATTGAACCCAGGGCCTCACACGTGCAAGACCAGCGCTCTACTACTGAGCCACAACCCCAGCCCTCCAATTTTAATAATTGCTATTTATTACACTATTATATGTCAGACCCATAATAAGTTCTTTACCACATTATTTTAAATTTTTAACCATTTGATTTGTTAATTTGTAACTATGATGTCTTTAAATACTTCATATTATAAGCATTTATTTTCTATTCCAGATTTTTATTGTGCATTTGCCTATTCTCTTAGAAATTTTGAAAGCTGAAATATTTTTCAGTTTTGTTTAACTGAGTCACTGTCGTATCCTTTGGACTGACTTTGATCTCTCAGTTTAAAGCCTGTGCACCTCTTCATCCTGAATTTGGTGATAAAATCACAGTGAGCATCATGGGCTTTTGTGTTATCGTTTCATAGGTTAGGACATTTTGTAGCCTTTGAATCATTGTAGTAACATTCATTGCCCCCCATTTCAGTTCAGTACAGAAAAACTCCAGTTTAGCTCTTAGATTTTGACTAGTTTACTTTGCTATACCCTTTTATTTCAGATTCAATTTAGCATTTCCTTTAATATACTGACTCAGTTCTCTTTTAAATTGGGCCTTTTCCATTTTTAAGTGTTACCTAAAGATTGGTTTCTTTTTTTTAAAAGAAGTTGGTGACTCTCTATTCTCTACCTTGATTTTTTTTTCTTGTTTTATAAATTCTTACATTGAAATCTCCCCTCCTCACAGAGTACTTCCAGAAGTGTTGATACTCTCTCCCCAATCCCAAGAATCCATCATTGTATTCTGCTTTTCCTTAGCCAGCTACATGAAGCTTCCTTGTGTATTTCCAAACTTGAGGATGTCTGTTGTTGCCAAAAGATGCTTCCAGTCTTTATCTTCCATAATCTCTTGGCAGCATTTGACATTATAGATCCTTTTTAAGATACTCTGTTTCCTTGACTTACCTGCTGTCATGCTTTTTCTGGTATTCCTTTCAGTTCTCTGTTTGGTGTCCATGTGTCTATCTTGGTTTTCTTCTCATCCCATTCTGTACTCCCTTCAGGACACATTTCTAGGTATTCTTGGTGGTCCAGAGCTTCCAGCTATTCTGTCTTTTGTGTGGTTCTGTCTCAGAATCTCTTATAAGGTGAAGACAGATGTTGAGGCTGGAGTATCCATTTCTGCGATGGCTAGTGTTCCTTGTGGCGGTTGCCTAGTTGTTTCTCACCTCCTAGCTTTTCCATAGACTGCAGTTTCAGAGAGTCAGTCCATGATTGGCCGACTTCATAGCTTTATGCCTGAGGTGAGGCAGAACAGGAGGGCAGAAGGACATTTCAGAGGAAAGCTGCTCAAGCCATGGCAACCAGGAAACAGTGAGATCGGTTTTTTTGCTTTCTCCTATCTTCATTTGAATTGATAATCTCAATTATCTCTTTTCTCAGTTTAGTTGAGGGAAGATGGGGAAACTGGTATAAAATGGGTATAGAATCTATTTTTTTTGTGTGTTCTATGGTAGATTTTTCTTTTCCTGGATACCTGGCATGTGCCTGAAAGGCATGCTAATGACCTACCTTAAAAAACAGAGCACATTTTTTCTTACTATCATATTGTGTACTAGGATATCCCCAAACATTTTTTTTTTTTCCCAAACATTTTGACCAGAGAATTTGATATCTGGTCTGGATCATTTACCTTGTGTTCTAAGTCATAGCTATTTAAATGTCTTCCAGTACTGTAGATCTACTATGAATGGGGTAGGGGTTTTTTTGTTTTTTTTTTCAATTTGTGAACAGAAACAGTGAATGATCTAAGATAGCGGTTGTCAAACTTTTGTCTTTTAAGCTTGTGTAACTCTTAACAATTATTAGAACCCTAAGAGTTTTTGTTTTTATGGGTTGTATCTATCAGTGTTCATCTCTTAGAAATTAAAACTGAGAAATTTAATGTTCCTTAAAAAATAATAAAATCATTTCTTATTCATTTTTTTCTTGAAAAATTACTTTATTATTCAAACTAAAAAATGTGAGCAAACAGACATTGTTTTGCATTTTTATAACTCTTTAATAGAAAGCCGGATTTTTATATCTGCTTCTGCATTCAGTCCATTGTGATACTTTTTTTTTTTTTTGAGAGAGAGAGAGAGAGAGAGAATTTTTTAATATTTATTTTTTAGTTTTCGGTGGACACAACATCTTTATTTTATTTTTTTTAATGTGGTGCTGAGGATCGAACCCAGCTCCCCGCGCATGCCAGTTGAGCGCGCTACCACTTGAGCCACATCCCCAGTCCCAATGATATGTTGTTTTGATTGAAGTTTATTTAAAAAAAAAGCTCACATAGCTATGTGGTTGGGAAAGTGATTGTTATCTTAATGGCCTTTTAGATAATTGTTGATAGTGCATACTACTATAAAACTTGACAAGTCATAGTTTCTTAAAGGTTAGCTGCAGTGTGGAATCTGAAACCATAACAATGAGCATTTCATATTCTTTTATATTAAAATCCATTGGTCCGTCTTCCATTTTGACTGAATCTTTAATTTATGCACATTTTTGTGACATCAGTCTTTTGGGGAAATTCTGGTTTGCTAAGTTATGCAGATCTTCCTAATGTTAACATATTTCATTATGCAGTTTAAAAAATATATGTTAATATCTCTACCAGGTTGTCAAAATGTTAAAGCCTTGGGAAGCTGCTAAGCTCATGGAGGCAGGTGTGCATTTACCCTCCTGAGTTCCTGGGATTTGAGGCATGTGCCTCTGCGCCCCATGTTTTTTTTTTTTTTTTTTTTGTACTAGGGATTGAATTCAGGGGCACTTGACCACTGAGCCACATCCCCAGCCCTATTTTGTATTTTATTTAGAGACAGGGTCTCACTGAGTTGCTTAGGCCTCACTAAGTTGCTGTGGCGGGCTTTGAACTTGAGATCCTCCTGCCTCAGCCTCCCAAGCCATTGGGATTATAGGTGTGCGCCACCATGCCTGGCTACATTTTTTTTTTAAGTAGTAAAATTTCACATAACATAAATTTATCAATTTAAACATTTATTTTATTTAAAAAATTTTTTTTGTAGTTGTAGATGGACATCGTGACTTTATTTTATTTGCTTATTTTTTATGCAGTACTATGTATTGAACCCAGTGCCTCACCCATGCTAGGCAAGCGCTCTGCCACTGAACTACAGCCCCAGCCCCATTTTAAACATTTTAAAGTGTATGATTTAGGGTTGGGGTTGTAGCTCAGTGGTAGAGTGCTTACCTAGTATGTGTGAAGCACTGGGTTCAATCCTTAGCACCACATTAAAATAAATAAATAAAAATCAAGTCATTATGTCCATCTACAACTACGGAAGGACATTTTTTTTTAAGTGTATGATTTAATGGTATTTGGTACAGTTTACAACCATTATCACTATCTAGGACCAGAACATTTTTATTACCTCAAAAGGAAATCTCATATTCATTAAATGTAATGTCTCTCTATCCTCCAGCCTCCTGGCAACTGCTAGTCTGTCTGTCCCTATAGGTTTGCCTAGTCTAGGTGTTTCTATAAATAGAATCCTACAACATGTGATGTTTTGTGTCTGGCTTCTTTCTTTTAGCATATTTTTTCAGTGCTGGGTATTAAACCCAGGGCCTCATGCATGCTAGGCATGCTACTGAGCTACGTCTCAGCCTGCAGGATGTTTTTAAGATTCGTGTGTATCATGTATCAGTACTTCACTCCTTTTTGTGTCTGTATAATGCC